ACCCAAATTTTTCCCCTACCGTCCCCTCTCCCATCCCCCCTCTCCCCCTACCCCTCACCCATCTACCCATTTCCCCCCACCTCACCCTTACCCTTCTAACCCTTTAACCCCTACCATCACCCATCTACCCATTTACCCCCACCGCCCCTCTACCCCTTTTACCCCTACTCCCCCTCTACCCATTATTTCCCCACCGTTCCCATTTTACCCCTACCGTCCCCCCCTTACCCCTTTCTCCTGTAACCTTGGCGTGACCTCTACCCAATCCCCTTTTCCAAAACCCAAACCCAACCTCCCTTCGCCATCAATCCCTGCCCCCCCCTGTTCCCTCTAAACCTCCCTGTCTGTCCATCAAATCCCTGCCTCACCCCTGTTTCCTCTAAAACCTCCCTGTCTGTCCATCAAATCCCTGCCCCACCCCTGTTCCCTCTAAACCTCCCTGTCTGTCCATCAAATCCCTGCCTCACCCCTGTTTCCTCTAAAACTCCCTGTCTGTCCATCAAATCCCTGCCTCACCCCTGTTCCCTCTAAACCTCCCTGTCTGTCCATCAAATCTCTGCCTCACCCCTGTTCCCTCTAAACCTCCCTGTCTGTCCATCAAATCCCTGCCCCACCCCCCCCCCCCCCCCCCCCGTCCCCTCTCATTGTTCAGTGTTTGATCACCTCTGGGCCTATAGACTGAGTGCTCTGTTTCAAGGGCTCTCTGTTCTCACTGTGATTAGACTGCCCTCACCTCTTCATCCTGGACAAGCTGTCATTAATGTCACGTCATCCCTGTAACCCGTGACAGGGCTGATGTCGCAGCCTGTTACGGTGATGACGCGAATGTCATGACACAGGAAGGTTGTAGGTGGCGGCATTCCCATGAGGGAGGAGAATATGCGTGCTGTTACGGCACACGGCCCCAAAAAAAGAAGAGTTCTAGACAAGCAGAACATATGAATGTTTACGAGATGTTAGGAGATTTTTTAACATTTGGTGTGTGAATATTTGTATACCGTAGACAAATTAATAAAAAAAACAGTGAATTAGTCTTCAGTGAATTACTTTCCCCAGTATTTGTCACCCAAAGACGCATGCTTTAAACGAATGAAGTCATAGTATGAAAGCGTTTTGATATTTACGTTCGTCTTTGACTCATTCGGTGTTCAGAACCAAATCTCACTCTGCATTGATGACTCACTCCCCACAGGGGAAAAACATTTATGATTCTCTATTTGGATCCCCAATTTTCTTCACAGGATAGTAGAAACAGAAGGGGGAGAGAAAAAAACATTTTGATGCTCCCATTTGTCTTGCGAGTGGAGGAACAGTGACACACCTGAAGAAAGCGATGCATGATTGCTTTATCAATATAAAGTGAATGGTGATGAAAATGGCAGGAACGGCACCGGGGCCGTCTGGCTTGGTGATGAATTTGTCGTTTGGTTGCCACTGTACACAACAACATCCCTGCACACAAACCCCATTAGCTTGTCCCTCTCAGGGTGCAGTTCCAGAGACGACCACTGGGTTGCAGTAGTATATAGAAGAAATCATGAGCAAACACTCCCTAAGGTGGTGCACCAGAGGAGGCTGGTGGGAGGACGGGCTCATTTGTAATGGCTGGAATGGAATTAAAAGAAAGGTATCAAACGTATGAAACCACATGTTTCATTGATTCTATTCCAGTCGGGCGGCAGGTAGCTTAGTGGTTAAGAGCGTTGTACCAGTAACCGAAAGGTCGCTGGTTCTAATCCCCAAGCCGACTAGGTGAAAAATCTGTCGATGTGCCCTTGAGCAAGGCACTTAACCCTAATTGCTCCTGTAAGTCGCTCTGGATAAGAGCGTCTGCTAAATGACCAATTTATTATTTATTTAATGAGCCCGTCCTCCTATAGTTCCTCCCACCAGCCTCCTCTGTGGCTCACCATGTTCCTGCTGCATGAGTCTTCTTCCTTCTGAAGATGTAGGCTACAAACTGCACTTTGACATACAAGCTGATTCACCCCTCTTCTATGGTTAGTAGTGAAAATAGGAGACGTAATTTCATCTGCAGCCAAATGATTCGCTTGTTATCGCCGAACAAAGACTACAGCACCTCGTCCTCTCCTGTGTGTCTCCCTGCTGTCTGTGTCCACTAGTATCTGGTTACATTATATTGGTTGTGCTTTACGTCGGTCTTATTTCAGAGGTTATTTACCTGGTATTCTCTGAGTAATTATTTGTTAACAATATATCAAATCTGAAGGAAACCAACATGTAAACATTAGTAGGAATATAATAACCAGCTCAAAGTAAACAGTAAACAGCAGACTGTTAAATACACATCATTCCTCAAGTCAACACCAGTTAAAGCTCAACCATTACATCCTTGCCGGTGTGAAAGGGGGGATGGTTAACACTAGCCCACATAGCTCTACTATCTACCCCCCCCCCCCCCCCCCCCCCCTCCCAGTGGTGAGGATGGTTAACACTAGCCCACATAGCTCTACTATCTACCCCCCCCCCCAGTGGTGAGGATGGTTAACACTAGCCCACATAGCTCTACTATCTACCCCCCCCCCTCCCAGTGGTGAGGATGGTTTAACACTAGCCCACATAGCTCT